AAATACACTCCAAATTCTGCACTCAAAAGGATCAAAAAGAGTCCCAAGACCTTCCACCCCCCATAACCGAACCCAAACTTCTCAAAAAGGAACTTATTTCGAGATAAGAGAGGTGAGAAACTCATTGTAGCACACAAAATACTACATTTGGAGTGAATTATTAATAAAATAACTTATTTTGTATGCATGTGAAAGGTCACACTGTTAGGGTGCACTTTTTGTTGCACAATCTTACCATGATTTACAGCTACGGTAGGGGTGCCCAAACTTTTTGTCTTTGGAGGGTCAAAGTGGAGTTATTTTGGAAATCTCTGTGTTTTAAAAAGTGTAAATGTGTTTTATGCAGTATGATAACATTGTAAATGTTTTAAAATGTACCAATCCATACCAACTTCCCAATCCATGGGATCCGTATATGGAAACTACGCTGCAAAAACAGCATATTTTGAACTAGTTGTCTTTATGATGTCACAAAAAGCAGCACGTTTGCATGCAGTACTGTGCACATTTGAGGCACCTGAGAATTTTTATTGAACCATTTCCAAACCTCTCCTCAAGGAAGCCCAGTATTAATGGTAGCTATCATCCAGTACCTACTCAGGATAGTCAGTCCTTATTTAATTGAATCAGGAGTGCTGCTGATGGAATTTAATAAATCTATGTAATAGTTGTGGACATCAAGGGGAAATATGGAAACCTGTGTTCTTATCATCAACTCAAAGGATATTAACTACTTTACTGAAAACAAGAAATTCTTGTTACTTTTTACCGCATCAATGTTTGGCTGTATTCATGAGTGTTATTTGGAATTATATGGAACTACAATAAAAACACAGTTGTTGTACAGAAAAATGGTTTTAAATAATTTACTAAGGAGTTTGCATCCTACTGTATATCCCCTTATTCAGCCTACAGCAGTTTAGCCCCATCTATTCACACTGAAAATATGTGTAGCCTGGACTGCTTTTTTAATGAGGCAGCCAATCTGAACAGAGCTCATTTACATATATCCAGTGGGAAACCCTCAAGGCCTTCAAAGAAGACCTAATAATTCCCACAAACTCGAAAAAATAAATGTCTATAAAATGTCTATAATTTTTAGGTCGTTTTTGTATATCATGGGGCTTGTATTTAAATTAGGCAAGTACTCATGTTATTTTTTCAAGTTTATGTTGGCAATTTTTTAAATGCCCAACGTAAAATTGTCCAATCAGGATTTATTTCAGTGGTTTCTAGGCGGTTACAGCCAAGCGAGCTCTCTCATTGGTCAGGACTTCAGGAGCTGAACTGAGCTCTTTAATAAGATAAACTTACTAAAAACAAGTAAAAAAGTCTAGAAATAAGTTAAATAATCTTATAATATTTTTAAATCAATCTTGAAAACAGAATTATTAGACATATTGGCTGCATTTAAGATGTTTACACTTGCTAGTAAATCAGTGTGTTTGAATGAAAGGGATAAAGAGAGGTTGGAAAATGGTCACATATTAATGGATGAAGTTTTTAGTACTTAAAACAACACAAAAAAATACAAGTAAAATGTAGCATATAAGTCTTTTAATTCTTCTCTCCAAGGGTCCCTAAACCACCATTCCCCCAAAACCCCACCGCAAACTAACCCCCTGTCCCGGAAAGGAATTTGGTTATCTGGTCCTTCACCAGAGCAGGAACACAAGTGGCCCTCAGTTAATCAGCTGTTGGCCTGGGAGTCAGCTGCCCCCGCCTGATAGCCATCGCCATTTTTGAACGTGTGGGTGGAGAGCGGCTAGCAGAAAAGTGCAAAGTTATCAAAAAGATATGCACTTTTATTTCCTCCCTTCGTTCCTTTTCTGAAGCGAACCAGAAACCATCAGTGACCGTTTAACAATGTATCGCCCTCGCTGGTGCCTCTTATATCTTTTGAACCAGCACTCGGGGAAAATTCAATCACTCTTGATTGTAGAGTGCGTGTTAGAATTTTCGAAATCGTCTTATATCTTTTGGAAATAAATCTCAACATACTGCGCAACACACGTCATAAAAGTGCAAAACGTTCGTTTATTTTGATTCACAGACTTCCAAATGGCACCAGCGTCCGTTTAATGTCAGTAATGACAGCGCTCGGTGATTCAGCACATCCATAACAGTTATGGCATCGGGGCAGGCAGGCAGTGAGGCGTGCGATTTTAAAGGCCGTGGTTTTAGGTTGGACGTGTGGCCAGGCCTGCGGCTGTAACGAGTGTGTTTTTCTGGCCAGGCCTGAGGCGCTGGGCCTGGCTGGGGTAATTGATAGCGCTGTGTTTGTGTAGAGGTTTTGGCTCGTGCGCTCGTGGTAATGGAGATCCGCCGGTCGATAAGAGACACACTCTGCTCCCTCACGTGGTTGGTATTCCGCACAAGTAGGCCACACAAAAAAAAACGCCTGGGCGCAACAGAGCCGACTCGCTTTACACGAGACTTATAGCAGGTTCTTATTAGTAATTTAGCCACCGGTTGCACGCTTTTCTTTCTTGTGCCTACTTGCTGCTGGTGGGTGATAAACGATTCCAGACTGCTGATACGTGCAGATTGATTTGCCTAAACTCCCTTACCCCACCCCTTGAATTAATTTTTACATGTTGTGTGCGGGAGTTTGGACAATGATATGGTCAGTTGACGTGTTTTGTTGATTTTCTGGAAAGTGAGCACCTATAGATAGAATACAGTTCTGCACATCTTAATGCACAGTTACTGTTTCTTTGAAAAACACAAAAAAGCACATTTTCTATTTGTGTTTTATTTTTTCCAATATGTTAAATAGAGGATGGCACGGTGGCACAGTGGGTAGCGCTGTTGCCTCACAGCAACAAGTGTTCGATTCCCCAGCCGGGCGACCTGGGTCCTTTCTGTGCGGAGATTGTTCTCCCCATGTTCTCCCCATGTCTTTGTGGGTTTCCTCCTACAGTTCTAAGATATACAGTCAGGCCAGTTGGACGTCTGTGTGTCTGCCCTGCAATGGACTGGCGACCTGTCCAGGGTGTTTCCTGCCTTCTGCCCAATGAACGCTGGGATAGGCTCCAGCAACCCCCGCAATTCAGAAGGATAAGCGGCTTAGAAAGTGTGTGTGTGTGTTTAATAGGCCTTGTGCGCTAAAATCAGTAGGAAAATATAATATGTAACTGCCTTCTCTGTAGAGGATTAACATATTTTCCTTCAAAACATCACCAAAACATAATTTGACCACGGTGTTCAAATTTTTGCATACGACATCTCCCTTACGCTGTGTTTAGATGTTGGCTTCGAAAAAACATAGCTCCGTACCTCATAATGGTAAGCGACACGTGGTAAGCGGTACACATTGACATGGACAATTGCATGTTCTGCATCCATTTTTCCCCCAAAAAATCAACAACCAGCTTTTTTCACCACCATGTTTGACAGCAAAACTCTGATGGAATGTGCCGCTGTCATTGGAATTTTCGCTCCCTTGAAAACAGTGGAATATCTGGATTGCTGTCGACTGCTTCCGCCAACATGAACACACAACTTCAGAATCAAACAGGCTGTTTGTTTACTGTGCCAATGCAAAAGACCTCTGTTCTGAGTGGTGGGCCTAAAAAAGCAGGCTGGGCTCAAACACTCCTAATAACTTCAGTGTGAATGGGCGGAGCTAAACTGCTGTGGAGTGAATAAGAAGATATATCCTCGCTGTTGGAACAAACATAGTATCTCCAAAATAGTAACTTTACAGGACAAGGCAAAACCATTCATTTGTGAGGGACGTTAATGTAACAAGATTTTTCCTAAGGTCATTTTGGGCCAGTTCTGTTGGTCCATTTGAAATTTTAACCCAATTTTAAGGGCAACTGGAGTTTTCAAATCATGCTAAAAAGTGAAAAACAACAAAAATGGAGATACAAGATTTTTGCGCGACAGTGACAGTATGTAAATGTGTTAGCGTGATGTCACAAAAGCAGTTCAAAATGGGCTGTTTTGCAGCTTTGTTTCCATATATGGACCATGTTTAATGTATTAAACTCTTTTTTTAATTCATGTTAACTTGATTTTTCCATAATATGGCCTCTTCAACACACAAACTGCACATGCTGTTTCATCTGTAATGCTTTACCTGGTGAAGAAAACAAATAAGCAAATTAGGCCCTCCTAATGGCCAGGTTTAAGCACTCTGGTTGCTAATTCCAGCTCTGACAACCTAATGAGCTTAGAGTCTGTGCAAGTGTTGGGAAGATTAAGCAGTTTTGAAAATAGCTGCCAGCCTAGAAGAACAAACGGTGCATCATTCCAATATTTAATTACTGATTGATTGTTTATTTATCTTTATTTGTCTGTTTTCATACGACTTAAAATTTAGGAAATATGGCAATACTGTATGTTTGGGACTGAGTCTAAAAGTAACTCGGAACAATGTGTAGAATAGCAGTATGCGCTGATAACAGAGACCACAGAGAGATAGTGCAAAGCCTATGAGAAGTGAACCTGTAATGTTTTGTATGCTACAGACCACCCTAACTGGGAGAAAAAGAAGGACCCTAAGTTTGTTGTGGTGTTAAATGTGAAGCATACACTATAAGACGTGGCTTAGACATCGATCAGTTATTACATTATTACAAGATATTTATAATGACAAGAATAATGGTTTACAATGAACCCCATCACAGATTAAATGTGCTTCCACTGAGTATTTTATTTGGAATTAAATGTGTAATAGGGTGCATATATAACTGATATTATGGTGTTATATGATTATTTACATGGTTACACAGTCTGTAGTTAAAGATATGCAGTATATATAATTATTATTTATATACATATGATTATTATTCGCCTAATTCCATATGAAACTGCTTCGCTTAGAAACGGAGTGATTTGCATATAAATGATTCCAGCGTCAACTCTCTAATTATTCTCAACGCGTGTGCACCGATTGGCTGACGTTGCCGCTCTCGTTTGCATTCTGCGTTGCGATTGGCCGAAGCTGCGGACGGTCAAGGCTCTGCACGCTCACCGCGGCGCTCAGTGTTTAGCGGAGGGAGTGAGAAGAAGAGTGTGTTGGATGAGAAAGAGAGAAAAACGAGAGAAAATCGCACGAAAAAGAGGACTGAAGTCGCACCGTTCGGCGATATGACTTAAACTCTGACCGTAGAGATGAGCCGAGGCGCTGGAGGATTTAACCCGGCGTGTTTTTGCCTGTTGTAAGCGCCGAGGTGCCGGTGAACGTGCGCGAGCGTGAGAAGTTGAGGCGAGCTTTAAACTTGCACGGCTGGGAGAGCAGAGAGGGGAGAGGAGAGCGGTGGGGTGGGTGTACGTGTGAGGGGGCTCGCTGGTACTCCGTGCTGTGAACGCTGTTGGTAACGCTGGATATAATGTGGAAAACCTGTGCGAATACGGACCACAGCTTCGAGGTTTTTCAGTCACGGTCACGGTAAACGGTAAGTGCCTTTTTTAGTACTACACTGTGTTTTTCCCACCTTAATGCTACGTGAAGTTGCTTTCTTAGCTGATTTTAGCTGGCGAGTCTCTCCCGTCTGCTTTGTTGCCCAGCTGAGCCGCTTTAAATGGCACTGTAAAGCACGGACGAGGCTGAAGTCAGCTTCTTGTTTGAGTTTTTCCCGTTCCACCTTAAATGGTGCAGCAGTTGCATTCTGAGGCTGAAGTCAGCTTCTTGTTGGAATTTTACCTTTTCATCTTATATTGTGCAGCGGTTACATTCTGAGGCAAAAGTCTTGTTGTTGGAATTTTCCCGTTCCACCTTAAATGGTGCAGCAGTTGCATTCTGAACATTCTGAGGCTGAAGTCCGCTTCTTGTTGGAATTGTTCCATTCCACCTTAAGTGGTGCAGCAGTTACGTTCTGAGGCTGAAGTCAGCTTCTTGTTGGAATTGTCCCGTTTCACCTTAAGTGGTGCAGCAGTTACGTTCTGAGGCAGAAGTCAGCTTCTTGTTCGAATTGTCCGGTTCCACCTTAAATGGTGCAGCAGTTACGTTCTTGCGGCTCGGGCAACAGAATGCAACTGCTGCACCATTTAAGGTGGAACGGGACAATTCGAACAAGAAGCTGACTTCAGCCTCGTAAAGCGCGGAGGCTCTTTTCTTTCTCTCCCGAGTGATTTGGTCGTGTAATTTTACACCGAAGGCTTGTTGACCTCTTTAAGAGCTTCTCCCAGCTCTAGTATGTGTTCCCTGCTCGGTAGTTGAAAAAGACCCGAGTTTCTACTCGCGCGTCGGTCCCCGCGGATGTGGGTGACTCCGTGGCCGAGACTGGTGGTCTGAGACTCGAGCTCAGAGCGGACCGGCCGCCCCTGAATGTGGAGGGTCAAATCAATTTCAGCCGCAAGATTAATATATGTAGGAGCAACCGGGGGGTAAAGGAGTGGATTAGGATCTGTTTCTGTTTCTGTCTCTCTGCTGACCTTCTTTTTCTCTCTCTCTCCCGCTTTATCTCTTCATCTCTCTTTCATTTTACCTATCTTTATTTTTCCTCTATCTGTATATCTTTCTGTATCTGTCTGTGTTTAGTCTCTCTCTCTCTCCTGGCCTTCTTTTTCTATCAGTTGCTCTCTCTTACTCCTTCAGTCTCTGCCTTGTAATTGTCTGCTTGTCTATCCCTATTTCTCTCCCTCCTTTCCTTCTGTTTGTCTCACACACTCTCTTTCTTCTCTTTTTGTAACTGTCTATTGTTCTCTCCTTCTTTTCATTCTGTTTATCTCTCTCTCTCCTCTTGCACCCAGTAACTGTCTATTTGTCTATCCCTGTTTCTCCCTCTTTTCCTTCTGTTTCTCTCTCTCTCTCTCTCTCTCTCTCTCTCTCTCTCTCTCCCTCCCTCTTCTTTTTCTTACTCTGTAACTGTATAATTGTTCTCTCCCTCTTTTTCTTATTCTCTCTCTCTCTCTCTCTCTCTCTCTCTTTCTTTCTTTCTGTCTGCCTATTTTTATTTCTACTTTATCTCTGTATCTTTCTGTTTCTGGTTTCTGGGTTTGTTTAGTGTCTCTCTCTCTGTCTCTCTCTCATGCAACCCCACCTTTCCTTTTTAATGTCTTGCTCTGTTTCTCTTTTCTGTGTATATATATCCTTCTTTCTCTTTCTCCTTCTCTCTTTCTTTCTGTTTCTGTCTTTGTTTAGTCTCTTTCTCTCATTCTTTCTTTTCCCTCCCATTTCTTTCTCTCTCTGTCTCTCTCTCTCTCTGTCTGTCTGTCTATTTGTTCTCTCCCGCTTTTCCTTCTGTTTGTCTCTCTGTCTCTCTCTTCTTCTGTTTCTGTCACTCTCTGTCTATTTGTTCTCTCACTCTTTTCCTTCTCCCCCCCCCTCTCTCTCTCTCTCTCTCTATATATATATATATATATATATATATATATGTATATGTATATCTTCATCTACCCATCTATCAATCTGTCTTTTGAAGTGATGCCATTTAATGTTAAATTTAGTCTGTTTTTCTCTTTATTTGAGAAATTGGTGAATTAAATTAATGTATTATTTAAGGTTGTTTTTATCTCCTTCATGCTGTTGTTTTAAAGCTCTGCTCTCCAGGCTGGACTCAGCAATGTCCGTGTGGCTTTTAGAAAGCTTTCTGATGATTTGTACAGATGGGAAATGTGAATCTCCAGAGGTTGCTGGTTTCTGAACCTGAAGAGTGGAGCTTTGCTTCATTCTCTTTTTTTTCCTCTGGCAGGCTGTAAGGTTTTTTTTTTCTTTTTCTTTTCTTTTTTTTTTTAAGCGAAACATGAACCAAACCCATAAGCAGACACTTGTGAGTAGGCAGCAGAGCGGCCTGAGTGCAGATTTACTGAGAGTCATCTTCACCGGCAAAATGCAGCATAAATCAACACGCTTGAAAAGGCTTTTTTCCCCATCCATAAAATCTCTCTCGCTCTCTGTCTCATCCTACACAGAACCTGTCTCGTTTATGAATGCCTGAATGCTGGTTAAAGGCATGAAAAGAAGCTTTTTTCCCTGTAGTGAGAGCAGAGATTGCAGACGCTCACTCATCTGTCTGATGCTGCCTAATGAATGAAGCGCTCGCTCGGTGCCGGTTGTTTTTTGTTCGGTGCCAGGGCACAGGTGCCCCTGCGCCCAGGGGGGAAAATTCAACGGATTATGATGGATTGCGGCAGGTGGGCACACCCGGTAATCCCCATCCGTTTGAACATATTGCATCGATGCGCCATAATTGGGTGCTAATAATAAGCCTCATTATTAAGCCCGATTGGAGATGATCTTTAGGATTAGTTAACAGCAGTTAAGCCACAGTGCAACTGTTTCTAAATATGGCTTTTGAAAATGATCTGATTCTTTTGTGCCAGTTGTTTAGCTAAGTATCAGTTGCACTGGTGTTGTTTAGTGTGTGGGTTTCTAGAAAAGTGGTTTGTTGCCACTTTTTGGCTTCTTTCAATGGATGATGAAAAAGGATGTGCCAGTCTGATAAACGCTTTTAAAGGATTAAAGAAACTCCACATAAACTAGAACCACATGTCCAAGCCAAAAACCATTTAACAACCTTTATTTTTAAGATTGAACCAACATAAATTTACCCCACCCTGTAAGACGGCTACATAAAACAGAGCTAGCATCAACTTAGCCTAAGATTCCTAGCCGTGGTTGAAAATTAGAATCTAATTATAAACAATACAATCTTATTTTTGTGCACTTTCGGTCTTAAAATGTGTGCATTCTTGATTGTATAGCAAAATGATAATTTAATCTCACGGTGTTAGAAAGCTAGCAAGCACCAAGCCAGTTAGCAGACTTTAGCATTAAGTTAGCTGCACAAGAGCTTTGTAACATTGGCTCATGTTAGCTTGCTAAATCCACACAATTCATTCATCCAATCTACATTTACATAAAAACATGAAACTGATGTTCGGGCTCGGGTAATTAGTTAAATGAGAAAAGCTAGTTATTCCTGCACTCTTAAAACAGGTGTTATGTAGTACCAACAGAAAGGTTTTGTGGCTGTCAACTATAGCAGAAAGCTTTTTGGTGCTATATAGCACAATTCTTCTGTAAACAAACATATACAGCATGTTTTCCATAATAAAGAAGAGCCATTTAATTATGGATAGAGCCTTTTATGCATTCAAATTTGCTGATGTAGCCATTGTTATTACTAAAGGACGCTTGGAGAGCCACTTTTACCAAAGGAGTATGTCTAAAAAGGCAAAAAGCTAGCCACATAGCTAGCTAGCTGCAGTTGGTATAGCGAAGTGGGTAACAGTGCTGCCCTTCATATGCTGGGGTTCAGTCTCCCCACCCGTGCAAGCCCACCACACTGTCCTATTAAGTGTCCTTGGGAAAGACTCCTGACGTTGTGTTTTCCTACCTGTATAACATGATTAAAATTGTAAGTATCTGTCAGATGTGTAAAAGTAAATTAGCTAGCTCACACTGAAAACTACATTGGTGCCTAAATAGCATTATTAATAACATAATAATGTCAAGTTGAACAAAGCCCTACCAATGTAGTTGGCTTGTTTTCTACTTTGAGTGTTTTTCCATGCCAGTGGGCTAATGTTGAGAAGCCGTATCAGCCAATTTAGAAAATGTGGTATAATATTGGACATAACAATCAAATTATATAACAATAAGCACTACACTGGAGCCTCATCACCACAGCATTACCCTTGTAAGTCAGTCGCCTGTATGGCCTAATGGATTATACAGCACTGAACAAATCTCAAGGAGCTGGTTTTGGCAACCTTGTTGGCACTTCAGCTCGGACTTTTGGAAAGCCATTCTCATTTACTTTAGGAGAAACAATAGCGGAAAATGGGCTGTCTCTGGCAGCCAGCTGCCCCTAGCTCCTCTGCTAAGGATTGCCCTTTTAAAGAGCTTCAGCCTATTCTGAGTTTGGAGTGATGCTATGGAAAAGCCTGCCAGCCTCCTCTGAGATGGCCCCGAGGTGCTGAGGGTTTTTCGGGAAACCACATCAAACCTGGTTTAATGGCTTTGAATAAACTGGATTAGTATTAGAGATGACAATGCCCCATGTGTCATGCCTTGAGCTATTGTTAAAAGGAATAGCGGAGATAGTCCAGTGACCATTTTCAAGGTGCCAGTGGGCTTCCCAAGGTCTTCACATCTGGTGTAGTCAGACCGGCTCGAAAACGCACCGATTAAGTCAGCACGTGAATATCTGTCGGCTTGCATCACTATCGCGCAGATTACGGTCCATCTTGATGCCTTGCAGGCACAGCACACTTCCTGAGTGACTCTGGGGGGACGGGACACCCGCTTTTATGTGCGCCTAGTGAAGGTGAGGTCATTTTTAAAGGCCGTTCCACGCCAGCTCTCCCTCGCACTCCATGCTGGTGGGGTTCGTAATGAAGTCAGCATGTGCGGCTTCTGCTCTCGGCCCCTTTTAATTGACATCATGTTTGGAGGATTCAGAGCGGAGCATGGAGCAGCGCTTCAGGCTTTAAATCTGGAAATTTGGGC